TCTATGTTAAAAAAATTATATATATATTCACAGATATTTCTTCCATGTGTTCTTTTATTATTTAAATAAAGCCCAGCCATTGGTTATGGCTCAGTAGTTGAGCATCAATCTATGAACCAGGAGGTTAGAGTCTTGATCCCCAGTGTAGAGCATGCTGGAGGCAACTGATCAATGATTCTCTCTCATCATTGATGTTTCTATCTCCCTCTCCCTCTCAATTCTTTTCTGAAATCAATAAAATATATTTTTAAAAATTGTAAATTAAAATAAATTTATTTGAATGTTTGGCTTAAGGCTGTATAAAGCTCAGATTTATAGCATTTTCCAATTCTCATGATATAATACATGATGATTTCAAGTTTCCAATAGTTTAAAAAGCAGCTAACACAACTGCTAAAAATTCAATAATCAGTTACTGCAATCTGACAGGTGCAGCTCCAGGAGACCTGCTCAATGATATGGTTATATTTCCTTCTGTCTCACTTCTTAGTAAGAATTTGACTTTTGATCATGGCATGTATTTCCAAATGCCTCTTATATCTCATTCCCAGTATCTCTACTGATGTCAGTAATATTCTGGCAGATCAGAAGGATAGGCTATATGATACTCATTTTATTAAGATGAAGAAACCAAGTCCCAGGAAAGTGATATGATTCAACCTGAATAACATTATAAGTAACTGTTAACATCATTTAATAACTTATTTGTTTTATTTTCCATAAATATAACTGATTTTCCACAAATTCAACTTGTAGAATTTCTAAAAATATTTTAAAACAATAAAAATATTTACATCTAAAGACTTTAGTTAACAGTAATACGTATATATTTAATATATATGTTTCAAAATTATATATAGTATTCTACCCTACTTTTTAATTTATACAAGATCAGCATTTTTTCTGTGTTATTATAGATGCCTGGAAACTATTTTTAATGCCTGCATAATATTGCATGAGTTGACTCACTATAATTTACTTACTAATTTTCCTGGTTTTAAACATTTAGGTTGATATGAGTTTCTGTCATTATCAATTACCATATAATCAATATCTTTGTATAAAAATACTTTTCTAAAATATAGGTCTTTTTTTAATTGTTTAAAACTTAGAACAGTATTACCAAGACTAGGACTCAAATTTTTAGATTCCTATTCGTAATCTTTTTCCATTACATTTGCCAACTCTTAAAATAATAAACCACATGGGCATTTTAATCTAATGCCATTCTAAGTTTTCATGTAAGTGCTTGGGTTTTCTTAGTCATCTCTAACCAATGGTGGAAAGGGAGCACCTTGAAACCTAACACAAATGCAAACATAGCTTTCAGTACTATTACTTTATAGGAATATATTCAAGGAAATTGGTAATAACATTACATTGATTAAAATAAAACTGATTAGAGTAAGAGTGGAGTATGCCAATTTGTTTCTGTGGGCTTTGGTTTTATCTTCTCAGTGTTTACACAAGAGCTGTCTTTTGTTCTGCCTTTAAAGTTGTCTACCTGAGTCTTCATTTTGGCCTCATCACTCAGGAGTTGAATGACCAACTTGTCTTGTTTTTCCCAGGGAATTCACAATTTAAAATTAAAGTCTAAATCCCCATATCCCATGAAACGCAATAGTTCCAGGCAAATCAGGAGGGTTGGTCAGGAGTGGATACTGACTCAAGAGTCATCTGCAACTCATCCCGCTCTTTCACTCTTCACATCTATTAAATTACAAAGTTAGGTTGACTTAATCTGCTGTCAATGCTCAAATCTACCAAACTTGCTTTCATCTTTACTATTACCACCTCTAAAATTTGGTCCAATCTACTAATGAACAAATTAATCAGTAAATTCATTTCAGACCTACCAAAGATCACACAGCTACTTACTGCTTGCCCTCTTCCTCCATCCTCCCCAAGCACAATAAATGGCAGGAACAGTACTTGAAATTCTGATGTCTTTGACTTAATGCTGCCCCTTACTATGTAAATGCCATGGGCTTAGTTTCTGTATAGTGAGGATACAAATACCAGTTGTTTTGTAATGCCAGTTCTCAGGAGTGCCTAGTAGCAATTTCAGCTTTTGACAATGTTAAAAAATATTAATGACTTATAGTTGCAGAAACTTGATGCTACGAAATCTTACAACCAGCAATCTTTTAAAAGACTAATATGTAAACAGAATTAGAGTGGACTAAAATGGGCAGAAAACTTTTGAATCTTCCAGCTTCTCCAATTTGCTGCTAGGTTGTGATGTTAGCTCCTCAAGGCAGAACAGTCTAAAATGACCATATACTTGCATAATGGCTTTATTTGCTTCTTTTGCTCATTTGCTTTCCACAACTAATTGATTACCAGACCTATGCTAAGGTCTGGAGGCATCTTTGCTTGGGATCAGTCACAATTCTCTTGGATAGGTGAAGAAAAATGTTATTTCACCTTGAAAAGGTAAGGAAAGTTTGTTTTCCAATTAGGAATATATTTCATCCAGGAAATTTGGGGGTTTTAATGTTTGTCATGAGGTAAAAAATATCCCATGGCCTATGTGAATGTTAAAATAGGCAATGCCCCTAGACCAGCAAAGTATCAGCTACTTCCCTTTGTTATGATGGTCGCCTGGGTATTGGAGAAACTGGAATTAGGGAGACAATACAGAAGATATTCTAACATGGGAATCTGTAAGGTTATTTGTCATCCTACATTTTGATGAATACCTTAGGGTCAGTAAAATTTAATATTCTGAGTGTCAGTCACATACATTTCTTTATGTTATCCTGAAAACATTTAGGATGATGATTACTGGAAGACAGGTTCTAGTACAGGTCATCCACATAAGGAATGGAAGCAAGTCCTAGGCAGTAGGACCAAAGGGGTAGAAATAAACTCTAAAACAAACCAGTAGCAAGGACAGTAATAGACTGAAAAGATCAGTTAATAAAATTCTAAAATTAAAGTTCCATTTGGAAATCTTTTCTGTCATATTCATACAATAGCTCCAATTTCTAGAATAATGTGTGGCATATTAAAGGTACTCAATAGCCTTATTAAGTAAACAAATATCTAAGTATCGGCTTAGGGGCAGGTGACTATGAAGGAAGCTTTGTATCTAAGGTCTGGGGTGGTAAAGCAAAAAATAGGAGAGATTAAACATATCAACAACTTGATTTGCTCTGGTCCCTTATGCCTTACAGGATTGATAAACTACAATAAACTCAGTTCTAAAGCTTTCATGTCTTTCAGACCAGGAGATAAACCCCATGACTAGATAATGGTGGCTAGCTTGCAATGTTGAATAAGAACACTAACTTAATTCTAAGGCATTGTAAATGCAAGGACTCATTAATATTTCAAAATCTTGTCAAAAGCCCTGACAGAGAAGACCCAAATGATAGTCCATGAGAAACAAAACAAAATGAAATTAAATAATTAAAGCTTAAGGATTTTCAAAAAGCACAGAAAAAGAGAAGATTCCAGAACGGAACACTTGAGAAAACAGGAGGGTGACTACTGTTGCTGTGTGAGATCCCAGCACAGAGCCAGTAAAAGAAGTGCAATGTTATTTTGAAGGCCCTGGTGAGCATATCAACAGTGATGTTCTTTAGTTGGCAAGGTTTGAAGTACACATCAGCACATATGCCTGATAGGGACAGGTGTGCTTTTGTTATCCACCTGGGTTGACTTCAGAGACTCAAAGCAAAGGCCTATCCCTTGTCCAGAGCCCACTGTCAAAAAAGAATTAAGTGCACAGCAGTCTAGTGCACTTGATACAGCAAAGCAAAAAAACAGGCCCAGGAAGATGTTTTATCTTTTAATAAACAGTTTTCATTATCATCATCAAATGCCTGCATTTTTACAAACCTGAGCTTCTCAGCCCAGCATTTACAGAAAATTGTCAAGTATCGTTTATAGATAAAAGCACAATTCAATATTTATGAATTGCTGGTTTTCTATAAATATAGACATTTGGAGATGATCTCACTAGTCATTAAATTTTGAACAGGGATCAAAGCTAGAATAATATTAACAATTCCTTGCATTTGTATCGTGTTTACATAATACTATTAATAATAGATGAAATTTACTGAGCACTTAGCAAGTGCCAGGCACTTTACATGTAAATTTGCATAATGAATTCAGTTCAGTTCAGGAAACATTCACTTAGCACCTACTGTGTGACAGATGAATAACATTTTGTTTCTGCCTTTAAAATCCCTTGTTTTGGTACACTCAATCAGTAGTTGTTGAATGAGTAAATGAGTGGATGGATGAACAAAATAATTGGTTTGAATGGCACTTTGGGGTAATAAAAATAACACAGGCTCCTTATTATCTATCATCTTTAGAAAGTACTTAACCTTTCCTAGACTCAATTTCTTCATCTGTAATACAAGGGATATTTAAATTCTCTCTTGCAAAAATGTTGTGAGAATAGTAACAGCAAATGTAAAAGGTCTGTCTAAGAATAGGCTCTAAGTAAGTGAGAGTTGTTATTATCTTCCATATTACCATCATTACTACTGGGCAATCCTATCCAGCTCTCATCCTCATTAGAGCAAATAGAACTTTAAGATGCACAAAAACACAACTTTCACATACACACAGACACACACAGACACACACACACACACTCCAAAACAAAAAAGCAAGAAAAATATACTAAAATGTAGTTCTCATTATCCTCCTAGGTTACTGAACAACATCTTTGCCCAGGCTAAAAAAACATAGAATCAACTTTAAGTAAAGTTTCCAAAGATACCGTGATAAAAGACAAGCAGGATATAAAGTTAATCAAATAACAGACCACACCTTTCCTCAAAGTGTTGGTCAATCTAAACATGAGACCATGTTCTCCATCCCAATGTTCTCAAAAAACAGCACCTGGAGCCATCCAGAAATTCATATTCTTCTTCTAACCAATAGCCATCCAAAAACTCATCTTATTCCATATAGCAGATGAAGCTCTGGGTCAAATTCTCCAACCAGAAATATGTCCCAATCAGTGGGTCACTTACCATTTTGGTCTGCTAGTAGATTTCACCATAGGGGCCATTCCATCTCTATAAAGACTCTTGGTTTTGCTGAAGTTAACAATATTGAAAATAACTCTCTGAAAAAGAAAGAGAGATTTATCAGAAGACAATGCTACATGCAAGTTGACACTTTCTGATAATTAATACTGGAAAAAATAAGCAGGATTAAATGAATTCATATGGACTAACTGTAGAGTGAAGAAAAATGAAGCTCACAGAAACTCAATGTGTTTGCTCCAGTTTAGCACAATAGTTTACACCTCAGAATCTGGAACCTGGAAGCCTGAGTTTTAATCCCACTTTACACTCTCAAGTTGTATGACCTTGCCAAACTATTAAGTCTTTCTGTGTCTCAGTTTCCTCATCTGGAAAATGGAAATAATAATGGTATTTACTGATGAGGATGAAATAAGTTAATATGTGTACAGTGTTTGGACTCATACTTGGTACATAGTAAGTATATATAAGTTTTGGACATTTAAACTAGAGGCCCAGTGCATAAAATTCGTGTACTTGGGGGAAGGGTCCTTCAGCCTGGCCTGTGCCCTCTTGCAGTCCAGGAGCCCTGCAATTGATTGCCCCACAGAGGGAGGCCCCACCCACTGCCGCTGGCTGGGTAGCCTGGGCCTCCCTCTTTGGGGCGATGGCAGGGCCCCTTGACCAATCGCATTACACCTGCCTTGGCAGTGGCAGTCAGTGCTGGGTCACCACGGTACCCACAACCTAGGAGGGACCTAGTGGTCAGAAGTCCAGCCCGTTCACCAGTCCCTGCCTACCAGAGCCTGCTGTGTGCCCAGCCTGGCTTTTGGTCATCTCTCTGGTCCTTTTGGACTTTACAGACCCTGGCTTTTTATATATTAGGATTGTGCTATCCATCTCGACTGACCTAGAATTTGTGCAGAAATGAATATTATTACAGTGACAGTCATGCATTGGAAGCTCAACAAACTAAAGATAGTAACAGTATAAAACTGAAGTTAAAAAATTATGCAACTGCTCCATTCCCTTTTGACTAGAACTGCACCCCCTTTGTTATCCTTTGCTAGGCCTAGGGGTACTAGGCTCAACCCCAATTTTAGCACAATTTATAGGGGCATATGTACTTGGGAAAGCACCTTTTCTCTCTGGGTTTCCCCTTTAAAAATGGGGGAGAGGAGCGTTCTAGATGATTAAAGTTAAAAGAAATCAAGCCCTTGTTTTAATAAATAACTTTGTCATAACTGGGGAGAAGAGACTAGGAAAGAAAAGATAATTGATAATTAGGTTTAAAAGACACTAAATGACCACTGAAAGAGTCCAAAGGACAGAGGATGAGGAGCAGAACAAGGAAAGCCAGAGTAGCTGCAGAAAGGGAAAGCTTTCAATGAGTCACCATAGTCTAGCTTTTCAATCCAGAGGCAGAGAGGGTAGCATCAAAATTCATGTATTGTTCCCATTAACAAATATTTATTGTGTGAGGTATTATAAAATATCAAGTGCCAGGTGTTTTACACACTTTTTAAATTATTTAAATATTCTCCTATAACTACAGACGTGGAAGTGGAGGCTCCAAATAGTTTAACTACTTGTTTAAAGTCATATAATAGATGGAGAGCTGCTATTGAATCCAGGGGATTAAAAAAAAAAAAAAAAGATGCTCATGATCTTGAGCTGCTCACTAAGGTTCCAAATTTCATAACTCTAACCAAGTATATTTTCCAAAATAAGGGCAAAGATAAATATAATAAAAAATTTTCAAGTCTTTATACTTTTTTTTTGAAAAGAGAAAATCTTAACCATTTCCGTTGGCCTCATGTTTGGAACTACCATAAAATATTTTGTTCTATGAAATAAGCTCTTAGGAATAACTCATGTTTTTCTTTCTCCTCAGAGATCTAACCATTGACCACATCTCTAGGCATTTCAGTTTCAGAACTCTCTGTTGTCATTAAATTAAGTCATCAAGAATGTCCAAGGCTATTCCATTATTAATAACCCGGACCTGTCTGTTGTCAGTTCAATTATTTCTCCCAGGCTCTTGACTATGGTCCGATTTAAGAAAATCAATATCAAGAGGCACAAATGGCCTTTGAACCTCACAAAGCTTAATCCCCCCTTTTTTCTTCTGAGATTCCAGGTGTCAGATCCAGTGAACCTGGAAGCCATATTGCAATTTCAGGATTAAATTAATGCTACATGCAGAGGGTGGGGGACATCTAATACAGAAATAATGTGCATATGTAAAGCTGAAATAAATAAATGAGAAAGTAAAACATTTATTGATCATTAATATCCTATACTGTGCCAGGAATAGTTCCCAGGTGTTTTAAATATACTTAATTATTTAGCATCTATATCCATAAACAAAAGTTATTTTAGCCCAACTTCAAACATGAGGAAATTAAAGCTAATACACTAACTGGCTTGTCACTCTTCCCACTCTCCCTCACCCAGCAAAACACACACACACACACACACACACACACACACACACACACACACCAGAACTATTAACTGATAGAACTAATATTTAAATCCTAGGTGCTCAGACTATAAAGATCACACTTGCTGTAACACTACAGGCAAAGAGAACACTATCTCAGCAACATTCTTCACCCATGAATTTCTTCCTAAATTTCCAGCCTATTTAGGAAAGTTACCTGTGGTTGTGAGAGTCAAAGGTATTTGGAAGTAGGCAGTTAGGAAATCTTGTCTTTCCATATTTTACACTTAATTATCAGTTATTTGCTAAAAATGCCTAACAAGAAATGGAACCTATGAGGTACTGATAACAGCTATAAAAATAGCAAACAACTTCTGAGTACTTCCTAAGTACCAAAAATTGACAGATCCTTCTTCAATTTTCATGTATCAAAGAAGAAATAATGATAGAAATTTTTAAATATTTATAATAAGGCCCTCACGAGTGTTTCCCTCCCACAAAGGGTTATGGATTTGATTCCCCAACAAGGGCATGTTACCTAGGTTGCAGGTTGGTCCCCACCTCAGTGGCTCAAGCAGGAGGCAACCAATTTCTCTCTCTCTCTCTCTCTCTCTCTCTCTCTCTCTCTCTCTCTCTCTCTCTCTCTCTCTCTCTCTCTCTTCCCCCCACCCTCTCTTTCTCTCTCCCTCTCCCTTCCACTCTCTGTAAAAAGCAATGGAAAAGGTATCCTCTAGTGAGGATTAAATATATGTCTCAGTCAGTAGGACTCAGTGGTTGTGCCTCAACCCATGAAACAAGAGGTCATAGGTTTGATTCCTGGTCAGGGCACATGCCCAGATTTTGGTCTTGATCCCACAATAATTCCCATAAATGATTCTCTCTCATCAATGTTTATATCTCTCTCCCTTTCTCTTCCTTTCTCTAAAAATCAATACAAGTTTTCAAGTCCCTGGGTTTCCGAAGTCCCATTTCTGTTAGTCCAGTTACAGAAGAAGTGTAGCTGGGGTTTCAGTAGAGCTAGAAAGCAAAACCAGTATCCAGAATTTCTGTTCCATATTGAAGTTGGGTCCAGTTCAGCATCAGACTAGTTTTAGTCCATTGGAATATTTTGTGTGGGTTTCACATGGCCAAAAGGGCAGAGGTTTTAGGCTTGGGAAGGGGTTGATCCTGCAATTGGAGGGGTCGGGAAACCCCTTACCAAGCCTCAAGCCTGGGGCAGAGGCTTTAGGCTTGGGCAGGGGCTGAGCCTGGGACCAGAGGGAAGGGCAAAAAAATCAATGGAAACATATCCTCAGGCAAGGAAAAAAAGAAAAAGAAAGAAAGAAATGTCATATCCTATGAAAGACGCATCTTGAAAATGCTTAAAGAAAGTTGTCATTTTTTCATGGTGAAGGAACCGGAGGCCATGTTGATGAAAATACCTTGGCATCTGTGGTAACTGGCAGTGGCTGCAGCAGTGGGGTGATGTGTCTGGCACCTCCCCCTGATTAGCCTGGTTGCCTCCCGCAAAGGGAGGCCAGATTATGGCTTAGGTCCGCTTCCAAAAGGGAGTAGGCCTAAGCCATCAGTAGGACATCCCCTGAGGGCTACCAGTATGTGAGAGGGGGCAGGCTGGGCTGTGGGACCCCTCTTCAGTGCACGAATTTCATACACTGGGCCCCTAGTCCTATATAATAAAACCCTAATATGTAAGTTGACTCAACAATGGAATGACCAGTCTCTATGATGTGCACTGACCAGCAGGGGGCAGATGCTCAATGCAAGAGCTTCCCCCTGGTAGTCAGTGCTCTCCCATCCAGAAGCTGAGTTCATGGCTGGCAAGTGCAGCAGCGTTTGGCATGAGCCTATCCTGCCTCCGCAGCAGCAGCTGAACATCCCCCGGGCGTCCTGGACTGTGAGAGGGCACAGGCTGGGCTGAGGGACAGCCCCCTCCCCCATGCATGAATGTTGTGCACCAGGCCTCTAGTCTATTATAAACTGATATCAAGCAGTCACAGGGAAGCAACAATTTGTTAATCTGCTCCACCTGTGTCTTGTTAACTAGAAATTATGAAACTCTTCGTGCAAATACTGCAGTCTGATAGAGATAATAAAGGAATGGCTTACAAGTTCTCCTCCCCTTCACTAAAAGCTTGTTCTGAGAAGTCTTCAAAAAGAGGTAGAAAGAGAACAGAGCAAAACATTCTTATCAAGGAAAGTTTAGCATATCAAACAAGAGCATTAGCAACTTGACAGAATTAAAGCAGATCTTTCAGGGAGATGTGTTCTTCTTCTTATAACTCAGAATAAATATCTACAAATATACAAACAAAAATGCCTCTATTTTCCTCCATATTTAATTTTTTGAGGAAACTCCATAATGCTTTCCATAATGGCTGCACCTGTCTGCAATCCCACCAAGAGTATATTAGGGTTCCCTTTTCTCCACATTCTCTCCAGAACTTGTCATTTGTTGATAGTAGCCATTCTGACAGGTGTGAGGTGATACCTCATTGTCATTTTAATTTTCATCTCCCTGATGTTCAATGACTTTGAGCATTTTTTCATATGTCTCCTGGCTGTCTGTATATCCCCTTGGAGAGTATCTCTTTAGGTCCTTTGCCCATTTTTAATTGATTTTTTTGTCTTCCTTTTATTAAGTTGTATGAGTTCCTT